TTGAGCCCAGGAGTTGGAGGTTGCTGTGAGCTGTAATGCCACGGCACTCTACCCAGGGGGACAGCTTGAGGCTCTGTCTCAAAAAAAAAAGAGTTTGAAACCAACCTGAGCAGGAGCAAGACCCCTGTCTCTAGGCTGGGCACCCATAGCTCAGTGGTTAGGACACTGGCCACATGCACGGGGGCTGGTGGGTTCAAACCTGGCTGGTCCTGCTAAACAAACAAACAAACAAAAATAGCCGGAGGTTGTGGTGGGCTCCCATAGCTCAGTAGGGCACCAGCCATATGCACCAAGGCTGGTGGGTTCAAGCCTGGCCCAGGCCTGCTAAACAACAAAGACAACTGCAACCAAAAAAAAGCCAGGTGTTGTGGCAGTTGCCTGTAGTCCCAGCTTCTTGGGAGGCTGAGACAAGAAAAGTGCTTAAGCCCAAGAGTTTGAGGTTGTTGTGACCTGTGACACCATGGCACTCTACTGAGGGCAACATAGTGAGACTCTGTCTCAAAAAAAAAAAGGTGAGACTGTCTCAAATAAAAAAAAAGGGCTCGGTGCCCATAGCACAGTAGTTATGGTACCAGCCACATACACTGGCAGGTTCAAACTCGGCCCAGGTCAGCTAAACAACAGTGACAACTGCAACAAAAAATAGCCAGGCATTGTGGCGGGCACCTGTAGCCCCAGCTACTTGGGAGGCTGAGGCAAGAGGAACTCTTGAACCTAAGAGTTTGAGGTTGCTGTGAACTATAAAGCCATGACACTCTACCAAGGATGACAAAATGAGACTCTGTCTCATAAAAATAATAATAAATAAATAAAACAAAACGTAAAGTGAAAAAAGGCTGTTGGCTTTGGAATCAGACAGTCCTAAATCCCAGGTCTAACTTTACAACTGTATTGCCTTGGGCAAGTTACTTAACTCCTCTGAACCTCGTTTTTCTCATCTGTACAAAAGAGATGGAAGGTTGGAAAGGTTGTAAGGATTAAATTAGACACAGTATAATGTGTCTAATTTAAAATCTTTGGCATATGATGACCCATCAGTGACTAGCAGCTCTTAGTACTGGTTTAACAGTCACCTTTCTCCTTCCAGCTGCCGATCACGTGCTGTGTCTTCCCTGTGTCTGGCTTCAGTGAGATGGTGTCTTCCCCTCTCACTCTGAGCCAGCCAATGTGCTTATACCTGACCTTCTCTCCCCAGTCCCTGGATGACAAAGAGCTCCAGCTGCTGGGGAGGACACACTCGGCCAGTGATGCCCTGCGGACACTGGCAGCAGCCCGGCACATCTTTCCTGGGCGTGTGTCTGTGGACTTGATGCTGGGACTGCCAGGACAGCAGGTGGGGCAGTGGCTCAGGCAGCTGCAGGAACTGCTACACTACTGTGATGACCACATCTCCCTCTACCAGCTGTCCCTAGAGAGGGGCACTGCACTCTTCGCACAGGTGCAGCAAGGTGCCCTTCCCGCCCTCGACTCAGAGCTTGCAGCTGAGATGTACCAGAGGGGTCGAGAAGTCCTTCGCCAGGCTGGCTTCCGCCAGTATGAGGTCTCCAACTTCGCCCGAAATGTAAGTCCTGGGGCTGATGGCTGGAGTTGGAGAATGGGCATGCTGAGGAGTGACCAGGGAATTGTGCCCCTCTGAAGAGAAGGTTCCCTGTCGGGTGCTCTCAGGCCTGAGTTGGTGGGTGCTCTATCCAGGTACGGGTTACCTGAGCAGAGCCAAGGCCCACCCTCTTCACTCTGCACTATTCCCTCCCTCCCCACAGGGGGCGCTCAGTACCCACAATTGGACTTACTGGCAGTGCGGTCAGTACCTCGGTGTTGGGCCTGGTGAGTCTCCTGAGAACTAAGGAAGGGATGATTCAGGAGAGGAATGTCAGGGCTGTGTGAACTTGGGCCACTTACTGACCTTTCCAGGCCTCTGTTTCCTCATATGTAAAATACTATTAAAAAAAAACCACCAACCTTATGAACTGTTGAGCATTTTAAGGTGTCTGATACAGTATCTGACAGTGTGTTCTCAAACTTTAGCATGTATCAGAATCCCTTGGAGGGCTTGTAAAAACCTAGGCTGCTGGGCCCCACCTCCAGAATTTCTGATAGGCAGGGGCTGGAGCAGGGCCCAAGGATTTTTACAGCACATTAGATGCATTTGGTCTGGGGACCGCACTTTTGAGAACCACCAGTTTAAATGTTAGCTGCTATTAATGTGGGAGTGGTTGTTGATATTGTCAGGAGCCCATGGACGATTTGTACCTCATGGTGCTGGGGGTCACACTCGGGAGGCTCGGATCCAGACCCTGGAGCCTGACAACTGGATGAAGGAGGTGATGCTCTTTGGTCATGGCACCCGGAAGCGTATCCCCCTGGGCAGGCTGGAGATGTGAGTATCCACAGACACAGGACTCTTTACCTAGGGTCCCCCGTGCCCCCAGAATACCTTCCACATGCCACATCTTTATTTCCCGCCTTGCTTCTCCCCTGCCCTGTCTTATACTGAGCCCCAGTAGCCCCTCACAAACACATCCCAGTGAAGGGTATGAAGAATGGGAGAGGCACAATTCTCCTCTCCAAGACCCCTTGGTGATTTTTCTTTTAGCCTGGAAGAAGTTTTGGCCATGGGGCTGCGCACTGATATAGGGGTCACTCACCAGGTAAGGGGGTGAGGGTACTTGCATGCTGTTCCCTCCTGAGTCTTACAGAATCAATCTCTCGCTATCTCTCTCTCTCTCTCTCTCACACACATACACACCCTCCCATACTTCTAAGGTTGGCAGCTGGAGGTGGGGCCTAGGTCCAGCCAAGGCCCAGCAGTGGGCAGTGTGGTAAGAGCCCTCGACTAAGGTTGCAGAGACCCAGGTTCTAATCCTGGTTCTACTGCAACCTTGGGCACAAATCATTTTGCCTCTCCGAACCTCAGTGTTCTCAGCTTTGTGAAGTAGACTAGATAAAGGGTTTCCAAGGCCGGGTGTGGTGGCTCACACCTGTAATCTTAGCACTCTCGGAGGCTGAGGCAGGTGGATTGCTTGAGCTTAGGAGTTCGAGACCAGTCTGAGCCAGAGAGAAACCCTGTCTCTAAAAATAGCTGGGTGTTATGGTGGGTGCCTGTAGTCCCAGCTACTTGGGAGGCTGGGGTGAGAGAATCACTTGAGGCCGAGAGTTTGAGGTTGCTGTGAGCACTCTACTGAGGGTGACAAAGACTCTGTCTCAAAAAAGAGGAGGGGAGCTCCAGATGTTTTTAAATAGCCCTGAAGCCTCATGTAGGAAGCACAAGAGAATGATCGATCAAAGTCAGAGCTACGTGAAGCCCTGGCTGTGGCTGGCCTAGGAGGAAGGTAAGAGAGGAGAGATAAAGGCCCCCCTGGCTTAGCTGGGGGCTGAGCTTCAGCCTGAATGGAAATGGGGTGAAGTGCCCACCTCCCTTCTGGCCCATTGGCCTGGTACTGCTGTTCATGAGCCTCAGCTGCTAAGATCTCAGGCTGGACTGAACCCTTCCTGACCCATCACCACACCCTAGCCACATGGCCCAGCATAAGCTGACCAGTTCCCACCTCTGACCCTTCTTTTTTCCCCAGCACTGGCAGCAGTTTGAACCCCAGCTGACCCTGTGGGATGTGTTTGGAGCAAGCAAGGAGGTGAAGAAGCTACTGGAGCAAGGCTTACTGCTGCTGGATCACAGGTATATTGGGGGGCGGTAGGCAGAGGGCAGCTTTAGGTGTCCCCAACTACAGATCCACAGACCCAAGAGTGGTGAGAAAGACTGGTGAGGCTTGGCACTGGTGGGGAATGCGCCTGAAATTGATAAGATGAAGTAGTCACATCCAGGCCTCTTGGTTTTGCAGAGGTCTTCGGTGTTCCTGGGAGGGTCTACCTGTACTGGATTCTCTGTTGCTGACCCTTCTGCCTCAACTCCAAGAGGCCTGGGAGCAGAGAACCCCAGCTCCTGTGCCTGGAGGATGACCATATCTTCCTGAATCCCAAGGTTTTACCAGGTGGGCTCTGAGGACTGAGCTGGTACTGCAGACATCTCTGCTGTCTGGTGCCATCTCTTGTCTATGTGGTCACTGCCCAGCCCTGGCATCCCTGGCTACAGTGAGGTGGATGGGAGGATATTTCTGGTTTGAGAACTGGCATCCCATTCAGCATCACAGGACTCACAGACCAGCCTCTGTTCCATGGCTGGCAATTACTCATCACCCACATCAGCTTCAGTTTCCCTTCGTGGTACCAAATAGTAAACAATGTTTGGAAATCTTCCTACAGAGAATTACCTCCTCCAAGAGAGCTTTCTTAACTCTGGAGTGAGGTTCTAAGAAAGCTGTATAAGTTAGAAAAACCATATCCCTTCTAATCATTTTAAGCAAAAATGAATTTAACATAAGGATGAGGTATTTACAAAACCATTGAGAGAGGTGGAGAAGTGAAAATTTGTGAAAGCCACCACCTGCTGTCAGAAAATCAGAGCATTGCAGGAGGCACAAGAAACTCCTGGTGATGGTCTGAGCTGCCAGCAGCACAAAAGCAGGTGATGTATAGGAAAATACCAGAAGATGCTACAAAACTCATGCTTACTGTCTGCCACTGATGGAAAAGGAGTGATCCTTTCTATAAATGTCTCTCATTAGTGGACTCTGAAGGAAATGCTGGCTGGCAGGAGATTTTAAGGAATATATTTCTCACGTTTCCAGACCCCGCAATACAGGAGAGACTCAGGTATGCTGGCGGACCCACAAATGTGGCTTGCTGGACTATGAGAACAGTGGGGGGAAAAGACTATACTTTCAGGGATCATTTCTATAGTTCGTTACTAGATAAGTCTCTCTGAATGTGTAGAGCACCGTAAACCACGAGGAGGAGGCGCAGCGTTCTCTCCTGAGCGTGAAGCCAGCTCTTGATGTTGCTTTAGTGCAGTTACCACTTGCCATTGATGATCGTTCTTCTCTTTCTTTGGGGGAATAAGAGGGAGAGAACGCAGTCTGAGTGGTTCTGTGTTTGAAAAAGAAAAAAGAGAACAGTGGGAAAGCTCAGAGCAAGCCTTGCTCCTTCAGCCCACCAGGACATGTTTTGGGTGGCAGGAGCCACCCAGTCTCTCCTGAGTCTAGTCCCCCAACTCCCCTTGCCTTTTCTAAGAGTTAATCAGGGAAGGGGCAGAGGAGAACTCCAGAAAGACCTAGAGCATTTGTGACTCTCCTTTATCTTTTACCTATAGAATAGTCACATGGTTCTATTCAAATACCCTCATAACGCTGTTTTAGACATCAGGCAGCATTTCAGCTTGTATCTCCCAGAAAAATGTATACTCCTTTATAGACATAATACTGTTTTCAGCCTATGAAAGTTAATATTAATGCAGTAATATGCACCTCATTTTAAAATTTCCCCAAATGTCTTCAAAATGTCTTAAAGTTCTTTGACTTATTGAGGGGAGGAAGACACAGATTCCAATAAAGTTTTATGCCTTATTCTTGGCTATTGTTTCTCTTTAGTCTCTTTTAAAACAGCCACCTTTCTTTTTGTTTGTTTTATAACAATGGCATTGAATTTTCAGAGTCAAGGCCTCCTGTCTGGACATTCTGGGCGTGTCTGATTGTTTTCCTAATGATTGAATCGGGTTAAATATTTTTCACTGGCTGGGTGCCCTGGCTCAATGCTGTAATCCTAGCACTCTGGGAGGCCACGGTGGAAGGATTGCTGGAGCTCAGGTGTTTGAGATCAGCCTGAGTAAGAGTGACAATCCCTCTCTACCAAAAATAGAAAAAAATAGCCAGGTGTGGTGGCATGTGCCCATAGTCTGAGCTATTCAGAGTGCTGAGGCAGGAGGATCAGTTGAATTTAAGGTTACAGTGAGCTATGATGACGCCACTGCACTCTAGCCAGGGCAATGGAAAAAAATTTTTTTGTAAGAAGGCTATGTAGATGTTGTATACCTCAAGGGATATAATACCATGTTGGCCCACTATCAGTAATGGCTAATTTTGATTACTTCATCAAGGTGGTGGGTGCCCAGTTTCTCTACTGTACAGATATATTTGTTCCTTGAAATGAAACAGATTATTGTCTGTGGTGTAATGTCTTAAGAACAAGTAAATGTTCTATTCCCTGACAGTCATTTGCCTGGTGGTTTTGGCAGCCATTGATGATTCTTGCCCAGATCAATTTTTAAAAGGGGGGAGGGAAGTTGTAAAATGTTAATTTCTAACTCTATCCTTCCTTCTACATTCATTACCTGGCATTTATCCATATATTCCTATTTATTAAAGGTCTGATACTCTTTTTTCTTTTCTTTTTTTTTTTTTTTTGAGACAGAGTATCACTCAGCCGCCCTTGGTAGCATCTGTGGCATCATATGACAGCAACCTCAAACTCTTAGGCTGAAATGATCCTCTTGTCTCAGCCTCCCGAGTAGGTGGGACTATAGGCACCCTCCACAACACCCAGCTATTTTTTTTAAGAGACAGGAGTCTTGCTCTTACTCAGGCTGGTCTCAAACTCTTGAGCTCAGGCAGTCTACCTGCCTCCACCTCCTAGAGTGCTAGGATTACAGCTGTAAGCCACCGTGCCCAGCTCCAGGGCTGATACTCTTTTTTTTTTTTTTTTTTTTGCATTGGCTGAGGCCAGGCTTAAACCCACCACCCTTGGCATATGGGGCTGGTGCCCTACCCTACTCCTTGAGCCACAGGCACCACCCAAGGGCTGGCTGATACTCTTTTTTTTTTTTTTTTGAGACAGAGCCTCAAGCTGTCCCCCTGGGTAGAGTGCTGTGGCATCACAGCTCACAGCAACCTCCAACTCCTGGGCTCAAGCGAGTCTCCTGACTCCCAGGTAGTTGGGACTACAGGCGCCTGCCACAACACCTGGCTATTTTTTGGTTGCAGCCGTCGTCGTTTGGCGGGCCTAGGCTGGATTCAAATCCACCAGAGCCTTAGCCACTTGAGCCAGTGGCCGGCGCCTTAGCCACTTGAGCCACAGGCGCTGAGCCAGGGCCGATATTCTTAACCTGAAAATTTTGTGTGTTTATGTGAGTGAGAGAGAAAAGAGAGTAAGAGAGAGGAGAGCATTTTCCTAGGAAGAGGCTCCAAAAGTTTCACACCTTATGTCACTTGGTGCCATGATGCCAAAAGTAATCTAGTACTGCTGCAAATGGAGGCATGCAAACTAAGCTCAGCTGAGTGACAAGGTGCCCCCCACCTCTCAGAGGTGAGCACGTGTATTTTCCGTGTGCCCAGTGGGTGTGAATATCAGTCCTTCTTTGACCCCGTGGTAACATGGTAAGTGCCACCACCTCTCCTTTATTCATGAAATATTCAGCAAGCATGAGTGGTGTTCCAGGCACTGCGCCGGACACACAGAGAGGAGTAAGACCTGTCCCAGCCTTCGAGGAACTCACCGTCATGTTGATAGATGTGTACAGAGATCAAGTCCAGTCTTGTCAGTAAAGGCGTGCATGTGCATGTAGGTCACGGGAGCCTGGAGCACATTTACTGCGGAGGGGCTGTGTGCAGGACAGAGGAAAATACACTTCTTCTCACTCCCTTTGCCACTGGTGCCATGGAAAGCCTGGCCCTAGGGCAGCTTTCTGAGTGAACTGTGCCATTCAGAAGCCTCTTCCTGAGCCTTCCCTGATCTTGACATTCAAGAAGTGAGCACAGGGCTGAGGCAGGTGTGCCATCAGATAACATGGGCCCACTCAGGTTTCTCCCAACTGCCAGGGCTCGTGCCACCTGAGATGTCCAGGCCCTCCCTGCTGGGTTACCTCACGAGGTTTGTACAGAGGAGCTGGGTGGGAGCCAGGGCTAAGTGGGGGGTGGCACAGATCACCTTCTGTGACTCAGCCTGGTCCCACACTCACCAGGTGAATCAGGTTCCACGAGGGAGAGTCCAGGAATCTCATTTCTCAGTGCTTCCTGCCTGGCTTGGTCCCATTTGGGTTCTCCTGATTATCATCATCCTCCTGCCTTCCATCCTGAAGTGCTGGGGATAGGAGGAAAGAGGAGGACGTGGCTCCTTCCAGACGCAACACAGGTGACATTGGCACAGGTCACCCAGCAAAGTGGATGTGGCGATCTCTTCACATCCCAGCCTTCCATGAGCCTTCCATGACTCATCCACCTTCTCACTGGGACTTTGGCTGTCATTTTCCACCTACCCTACATAGCAAGTAAAAGGGACGAACAACTCATTTTGGTAAAAAGGTGATGAGCAAAGTTTGGGACAGTATGTGTGAATGTGTGGTTTGAGCCTGAAGGACCAAACCTTTCATATGCAAGAAACACTGATCATTTAAAAACCCTAGAATTGAACCACCACCACCCACCAGTGTATGAAGTAGGCAGGGCAGGTGTTTTAAAAATTTTTAATTAAAACTTTTTTAGAAACAAGGTCTTCACTGTGTTGCCCAGGCTCATCTCAAAGTAGCTGGGACTATAGGCATGCACTACTGCATCTGGCCTAGGGCCACAATTTTAAATTTCCATTTTACAGAGGGGGACATTCATAGAGTTTCTCTAACTTGACTGAAGTCCTATAAGACCTGTGATAACACTTCTGGACATCCAGAACTTTCTGGCCTCTCTGCCTCAGGCTCGAAGCTGCCTGGTGCTGGGTAGTTTGAACTCCCTCTGTGTCTTTCCTCCTTGAGAGGCTTTCACAATGAGAGCCTGTGCTACCAAGCCCCCATCTCTGGAGACCATCATGAGATAGAACTGCGTTCTCCTCCCGCCTTATTCTGCCAAGAACAGAACTTTGAGTAATAAGGTGAAATAACTTGTGTGGCAGATTGTATGATTGTTCTGAATGTTTGCTACCCCTTTCTGAGGGCCTGTGTGTCCCTGCCTTGTTGAGCTTAGGAAGGGCCATGAGACTTCCCCAGCAGTGGTGGTAAGAGCCAGTGGGTGGCCTGCCAGCCTGCCCCTCTGTCATGGTGACCTGCAGGGCTCACATGGGGCCTATTTGGTTAGCCTGGGTCCCAAAGTGAAGGAGGTGGGCAGAGGAGCAGCCAAGCACGACAGATATGAGCGTAGAGAGAAATATTTGTTCATTTAAACCAGATTTTCAGGTTGTTGCTGCATGGTAATTGAGACTAAAGTGACTGATTTAGGCTCAGTGCTGGTAGGTCAGTGGTTAGGCTGCCAGCCACATACACCAGGGCTGATGGGTTCGAACCCAGCTGGGGCCTGCTAAACAACAATGACAACTACAACAACAACAAAAAATAGCTGGGTGTTGTGGCAGGCACCTATGGTCCCAGCTATTAAGGAGGCTGAGGCAAGAGAATCACTTAAGCCCAAGAGTTTGAGGTGCTGTGAGCTGTGATGCCACAGCACTCTACCAAGGGCAACATAGTCAGACTCTGTCTCAAAAATAAAAGGGCAGCACCTGTGGCTCAGTGAGTAGGGCACTGGCCCCATATACCAAGGGTGGCAGGTTTGAACCCAGCCTCGGCCAAACTGCAACAAAAAAATAGCTGGGTGTTGTGGCAGATGCCTGTGGTCCCAGCTACTCGGGTGGCTGAGGCAAGAGAATCACCTAAGCCCAGTAGCTGGAGGTTGCTGTAACCTGTGACACCACGGCACTCTACTGAGGGCGATAGAGTGAGACTCTGTCTCTTAAAAAAAATAAATAAATAAAAATAAATAGGGTAGTGCCTGTGGTTCAGTGAGTAGGGCACTGGCCCCATATACTTAGGGTGGTTGCTTCAAACCCAGCCCTGGCCAAACTGCAACAACAACAAAAAATAAAATAACTGATTTAATTTATAATCCCACCATTCAAAGATTAACCATTGTTAAGATTCTAGTGTGAATTTTAGCAGCAATTATATGCAATGAATGTTATTTAGATATGCAACCTTACAAAGATGGGATAATAATATATGTCTTGCTCCAAAGAGACTTCTTGTTTTATCTAATAAGGCAGTTCTCAACCTATGGGTTGCAACCCACATGAACTGTATTAAAGGGCCACAGCATTAGGAAGGTTGAGAACCACCGATCTAATATGTGGTGGGCACCAAGTTTATATCTATTTCCTTTTTTTTTTTTTTGGAAGTTTTTGGCTGGGGCTGGGTTTGAACCCACCACCTCCAGCATGTGGGGCTGGCACCCTACTCCTTTGAGCCACAGGTGCCGCCCGATCTATATCCTATTTTTTTAGTGTGGCCCCCATAGTGTATCACTACACAGTTATACCCAAAAACCTAGTTTTCCAATTTTTTAAAATGAAACTAAGGATTTGATTTGGGGTTGTTATTAAACTCTGTGATGAAAGTCTTCTATAAATACCTTTACTCACTAGTTTGATTATTTCCTTAGGTTTAGGGTAAATCCCAAGAAATGGAATTGCTGACTCTGAGGATATGCACATCCTTTGTTAGCCAAACTGCCCTCCAGGAAGCCTGCCTACTTCCCCCCTTGCCAACTTGG